CAGTGGGTTCATCACATGGGAATCATGTTACGATTCGGAAGAGGCCATTTGCCCTTGCATGAAGACGATCTAAGGTATCATGAATTAAAATTCAGCGAGGCTAGTGTAATATGGTAAAATCTTTGAAGCTTTTCAAATTCCTTAGAGGTGGCTGAGGCATGTATATATCCTGGGTTTATTAAATAGATCATATTAAATAAATATTAAAGAAATACACAGGGACTGTTTTGTAGATAAATATTCAGTTATATTAACAAACCTCTTTGCGTGTTTGAATTGTCAGGCTGTTGGTCTGTTGCAGTTGATGGTCAAAGGCCCCTTTAATATACATTTGAAAATATTCAACATACAAAAAATAACCTGCGATATACGGGCTGAGCTGCTGATCTGCAAGAAAAACTAAGTAGGAAATATCAATAAGCTTTCAGTATTCTACATATACACTATATGGACAAAGGTATTGGCACACCTCTTAATTACTGAATTCAGGTCTTTCATTCAGACTCATTGCCACAGGTGTATAAAATCTAGCACCTAGCCATGCAGTCAAAAAATGGGTGAAAAAATTGGTCATTCTGAGGAGATCAGTGAATTCTTGCATGGTACTATCATAGGATACCACCTTTGCAAGTCAATTCATGAAATTTCTTCCCTGCTAGGTATCCCACAGTCAACTATAAGTGGTATTATTGTAAAGTGGAAGTGTTTAAGAACAAAAGAGACTCAGCCACGAAGTGATATGCCACGTAAAGTAACAGAGCGGGGTGGCAGAGTGCATAAAAGTCACCAAAGTTCTGTTGACTCAATAACTGCAGAGTTCCAAACTTCCTCTGGCATTAATCCCAGCACAAAAACTGTACGCAGGGAGCATCATGGAATGAGTTTCCATGGCCGAGCAGCTGCATGTAAACCTCACATCACCAAGTGCAATGCCAAACGTTGGCTAGAGGGGTGTAAAGCACGCCGCCACTGGAACCTGGCAGTCATTAGCCGGGAACATACAACAATAACGGGGCACAATATTCCCGTGGAAATGTGGTGAGTGTTACCCCAAGGCTTAGGATGCAAAATAATAAGCTCTGGTTAAAATCGCATGATCACAGTATCGTTTGTCGTCAAAAGCAGGGGTGCTGAGCATTAATTAAACATTAGCCATACATTTGTTTCAGTTGCTTGGTGAGAGAGCGCTTTCTGAATCTGATTCCATGTGGCGCACTTTTAACTGTTAATCAGCAACTTAGATCCTTTAACAATAGCGTAGATTGAAAATCCCTGGTTACGGGGTTAAATCAGAATCAGAGAGGTACAGAGTAGGCATTAAAGGTGAAAACATGACTTTAAGTGCATAACTGACCTTTTATTACACAGTTCATTTTTATTATTAAAATTTATTCAATTTTGGGACAGTAAGAAAATAAGGTTAATGTTCAAGGAGGAAAAACTGTGCTCTAGCAAGGAGTAATTTGTACATAAAGAGGTGGAGCTGCATTTCGGCAAAGTGCGAATTGGACATAAGGAGGCAGCGAGGTGTGATGTGGCATAAAGAGGTAAAGTTGCGCTCTAGCAATATGCACTTTGGACATAAGGAGGCAGAGCTGAGCTCCGATAAGGTGCAATTTGGACATAAGGAGGCAGAGCTGAGCTCCGATAAGGTGCAATTTGGACATAAGGAGGCAGAGCTGAGCTCC